ATTGAAGAACATTTTATCCTAACGATCTTAGGTTTGTTTTGTAGAATGTTTGGTTTCTTAAACTTAAACACGTTAAATGTCTTTTACCCGATCAAGTTCCCGAGAAAAACATCTGCAGTGATGATCCATCCATGTTCCAATCTCTACTCTAATATTCCACCAGGAAAAAAAAAAAAAAAACTTCTAGAGTCCTGCTTTTGGTGTTGCAATTGGTTTCTCCTTTTAAGATATTGTATCGTTTTTCTTTTCGTTCATTATTTTTCATTTTTCTTTTAATTTTCATCTTTCTTTATATTTTATAAATTTTTCTACGTTCTCCTTTTTATCGTTGTTCTTTTCCTTCATTGTATTTTTTTAATTTTATTCTTTCTTCTCGTTTAATATATTTTCAATTTTGTCTTCTCGTACTTTTTTTTCTTTGCCTTCATTAGTGATCGTCTTCACTTTCGTCCCCCTTCTTTCATTTCCGTTTAATATATTTTCATGACAGATATTATTAGATAAATCAATGGTTTCAGAATAAAATTAGTGATAACCAACCAATATTAATTCAGCGGGAAAACTTGTGGTCCATCTTTAAAGGATAAGAGAATGTAAAACAATATTCAAGCAAAGAAAAGTTCTAAAAATTCCTGCAAGGACAATAAAAGTCAAAACGGCAGAAAGGTTATCAAAATCAATTAATGAAACACTGATGAAAGTTAAAGAAAGTCAAGGAGACGATATTAATATGTAAAATAAAAAAGATATCTATTTATACATAAGGGATATTGTTTTAAAACGATTCTGTGACTTAATCTTTCAAGTTCATATAGAAATAAAAAAATATTTTGCACTGACTTGCGATATCTTTTTATAAGGAAGGATGAAAATCGAAATTCAAATGGTATGTTTGACACATTAACTCATTTTTTGCCTAGTATTGCAAACATGGGAATCAGACTGTGATGCAAACAACTAAATGGGGATGTCAATATTAAGCAAGTACAAAAATTCAAAGATCTGAGAAAAGCTTTAACAGAAGACGGAAAACGTGTCCCCGAAAATCTGAAGGTGCATTGAAATAATAAAAGGGACCTTCCAAAACTTCATCAAAATTTTAAGAAACAGGAAAATGTTATCAGCAAAGACAAGAGTGTTAGCACACACTCATAGATACGCACATACACATACACATACACATATAAAGGTGAACATTGGCAGACTGTTTCTAGACGCAATCATCAGGCCTGAGTGTTGACTTCAATATTCATTTTTATATTTTCATACGCTCTATCGCTGATATTGAGCACCTTAAATAAATAACTTAAAGCTATATTTCTTCGCACACACACGCACATATATATATATATTAAAAGTATAAGGAAAGTTCGTCACGTTAGAGAAACTTTAACATACAAACATTTTTAACATCTAACTGGTTGTAACATATGAAAGTTTTACTTATTCAGATATTTCGCTTCAATCTTTTTCACACACACACATACACACACATACACACACACACGTACACACACACACATATATATATATATATATATATGTATGTATGTATGTCGACATTGAAATCAACACCTAAGAGCGACATTCTGTTTCATGCTTAAATGCAATGTTCAGGCCATTTTAAGCATAAAACAAACTCTCGAATCTTGGTGTTGACCTCAGCATCACTTTTATATTTAAGTATACATACACTCTGTTCCTGATAATGAGCCCTTTAGCCCATAAATTTAGTATAAAAAAATTTAAAATTACAAACTTTTGGGGTGGTTTCCTCACACCAAAGCAAGAACAAAAGTCCATAGAAACATATGTCCGCAAACCATTCGCTTTTGAGTTATTAAATTTAGAAAATTTACTGTCGATGGGGCTGTGCTAACATGTAGACTAGGTTACATTTGTCATTCGTGTACGTTTGTAGCTAGTCTGTCTTCAACGTTTAACGAGTGTAGTAGTGAGTTAACTGAGAAGTGTTCCGTTTAACAATGGCATGATATTCATATCGTGAGTAGGAACATAGGATTTTTGCATACAGGCGCAAGAATGTTAATGGACGCCCTCTGATCACTTACCACAGGGGAACTATTGCCGATGGTTTATTGTAACTGCCGATCCATTGTTTGCCGCTTCAGTCTAGTTTATAGATGAGGCAACATTTAGAAGAGATGAAATAACAAATTTGTTAGACATTTTCATGACGGTCGTCCTCGAGTATAGAATCCAAAGGTTGGCAGTAAATATTTCGGAGACAGTAGGAAAGCGTAGTTCAGGTTCGCAGTGGATATCGTAGCAGAGCGTAGCTCTTCCGTCTGTCATGTTCGCCGGACAAGTTTCCTCTGGTCCTTCCGTTAGGAGAAACAAAGATGGCCGCCTTTATACACGACGAATACAGTGTTGTGCGGCTTCTGATTGGTCAACATTCTATTGGTCGACTATAAAGGGAAATAAGTCATTCTGACTCGCTCACTAGTTATATATATGTTATATACCCAAAAAACCGTAACAAAATTTACATAATCAACATTTGTAAGCAGATCGGAATCTTCATGGACATTTTGAACATTTGTTATCAATTGCTGTGTTGAGGTTCTACGATGACCTTTTGGACATTTTTATACGGACATTTTACCTTGTTTTGGTGTGTGGAACCCGCTCCACAAAGTTTGTAAAAGTATTTTAATTTGTGGAGCTCTGTTTCAGAATTGTAGGAAAATGCTAATAGATTTAAGTAGTCATTGAAATCTCATTTTTTGTACATTGACAATCGCCAGATATTTTAATCTTTGTATTCATGTATATTAACCAACCAGCGACGTCGCATGAGACGCTAGGTATTCTTTGAGTTGGCATTTGAAGGCTCACTTCAGAATATGATCGACAATATTTTCCTTCCTGAAACGGAACATTTAAAAATTTGGAAAATATATATTAGTCAATAAGATAAGACATTAAAATCTAAATTTTAGATTCATTCGGAACCTACTATTTTGTTATAAACTAGCAGCATGGCCCGGCGTTGGCCGTGCTTGATTCAAAAATCGTACGACTCATACAGCAATCACTATCACTTGACTTAAAATATTTTTGCCCTTCCTTGCCTTTAAAGGAGTGCCCTTTCCCGTGCTGATGTTGCTACATGCCTTACTTCTTGCCTATCTCACACTACGAATTTTTTCTAAGCTCTATACTAAACATTAAATCTGTTATGAAAAAAGAACTAAACAAAATGAACACAAAACGATCAGCTTAACAAAAGGACTCGTAACTGGAAAACCGAATGAAAACAAATACTTTTCACACCCAACCCAGTTCTGCGGAATCAGAATCAACGTTGAGTTTAAGCAATCGAATGAGCCAACTGGAGTAAAGTGCCATGCAGATTTAAATTTTTCCACTTGTGACGAATGCAGCTATCGATTTTTTTTGCATACTAGCATGCTAGTTAACATTCGTGTCAGTCAGCTGTTGGCTCTCACGCTGGCCAATAGAATCTTCCTGCCTATTTGTGGCAGCCAGCTATAGGCACTCACTCTGGCCAGTAGAAAATGGCCGCAAACTACATAAAAACTGCCGTACAAGCATGAAAAATCGATTATTTCTACTATCGATGGGAGTTGGGAAATGCGAGGTCGGTCTTGGCCATTTCGCTAATTTGGAGCATGTGCATATAAATTTTGGTGCAAATCCGTCAAAAATTGCGGCCGTGCATTCGTTACACACACACACACACACACACACACACACACACACACACACACACACACACACACACACACACACACACACACATCCTACCTTTTATAGATAGAGATAGAATCAGTTCTTGTTCACTAACTAGTTTTTCAGTAAACATTTAACCAGGATGATTGTTCGATTGTTTGTCACACACATGGAACTGAACTTCTCACAATTAATTACTCACAATTTCGCATATTTATTCAAGTATAAAATATTACTTAGTCACTTAATTACATAATACTTAGCGATAATTTGTTTCCAAGCTGCAACAGTCGCAACTAACTTCTTTCCTTTACTACATGCCAATTGACTGCTAAAATTTCATATACACGCAGTGAAAATAATGTAAACTTGATGTCACATACATCTGCAAACATATAGACGCATTTTTCATTTATCTTATACTAATGCAATTCATGCAGTTACACTGTAAAAAAAAGGATGTACAAGACATTTTGTGTGAAGTTGTTCACAAAGAATCTTTGTAATTCATTTCTTTCAGTTTGAAAGAAAAATAATACTCAAATACATAAAAATTATTGCAATTTGTAGATCCGTGTTTGAAGATTCACTTAGTTCTTCTGCCTATGTATCACTATATTCCCAATGTGAGCATATAAAATTTTTTACTCTGTAAAAACAAGAAAGGTTCACTCATTCGCACATTATATATATATATATATATATATATATATATATATATATATATATATATATATATATCATTTAATACTAAATTGCCGATTTGAACATATAATATTTTACTACAAAAAAAAAAAAAAAAAAAGGTTCACAACTTAGAGCAGAGTCATTCACCCATTAGACATCTATATGTGTAAAGTTCATACATTATTTAATTCGAAATGCTATTAATTATTTTTATGAATAAGATATATTATGGACTCTATTGTCTTAAAATATCTTTTACGTGACTAATGAATTTTACACGAATTGATTTTAAATAAATTAATTAGAATAATTTATATTAATTTGTGGCGGTTAGGTAATATCATTAATAAGTTAAAAGTATACTTAATAATTATGCATAGGAAAGATTACTAAGTTGCCGAATTCTTTTAAATATGGACGTCCATACAAGACATTATCAGAAAATAAGAGTGCCAACTATGATAAATTTTAAATGTATAAAAATTTTGTAACATTTCCTCAACAAGCATCTTCGTAAGTCAGACTAAGTACCTAAAATTCACTAAAATATTGAATTACTTATAATATTTTCCTAATTTATCTATCTATTTCAGTCTGTTCATATCTATCTATCTATCTATCTATCTATCTATCTATCTATCTATCTATCTATCTATCTCAGTCTGTTCATATCTATCTATCTATCTCAGTCTGTTCATATCTATCTATCTATCTATCTATCTATCTATCTATCTATCTATCTATCTATCTATCTCTTGTCAGTACTGATATATCAAATTTAATGCAAAATTGACTTCTGAAATTCAGATAATTCTTCTTTTGGTGTTGATCCAACATTCATTTGGGAAATGTAGCTAACCAGACAAACTTCTAGACGCGAATGGACCATCAAGAAAAAAATCATGTAATTAACGTAATATTAACCTTTTCTGATTTGTGGAACTTTAAAGCAATTTTTTATGCAATACATGTGGTGATTTCGTCATCGTCTGAGAATTTCTCTGGCAAGAGAATAAAACCCTGCAGGTTTTCTCTACTTTACCATTCCCCCAGAGCGAAAGGCAGGCAAAACGCTCGCAGGTTTCACTTTATAAATTCTACGCCTTTGTTCCAAACGTTAGAAATGTATTTTCTTGTGAAAAAAAGCTGGCACTGACAAATTAGATATGACTGTGAGCACGCCCATAATGCAGAGAGAATGAAATAAAAATGAACAAATTACGGGAAGAAAAATAAAAAAAAAAGTGTATTTGGATTCATTTACATTGAAAGTGATGGCCAAAGATATTTTTTGTATGGGAACGAAGGGTTAAATCGCGACTTCTTTCGCGTCACCCTCCCCCCCCCAAAAAAAAACGAAAACAGCAAAAAGATAAAACATAAAAATTAAACAAATATAGAATATAAAAATACTAAAAATAAATAAATTTACACGTTTCTTTCAATTTTGGAATTTGTAAAAATCAATTATCATCAATATTACATACAAAAAAGGCGAGAAACGGAAATAATAACTATCGCTAAAAGAAAAGACATATTGAACAAAATATTTAATGCTTAAAAAGTGAAAGGAAATGAAAGATGGAAATTGAAAAAGAGCTCAAGTTGCATATAAAAAAACAAAACAAAATGATATCGGTATAGGAATGTCAAATTTTATTTGTGAAAGAATCGGTCAGGTTAGGTCAGTAAACGCGTCTATTTCACACTTTGTCTTCGCCATTTTTATCTGCGTTCTCAACGAGGTTCCTGGATTCGAATGTCTGTTGGGACTCAAGGTCACTCCAGACGCCAAGTGGAACTCATCTATACGATCCATTGCAAAAGTTGCTGGAAAATTGGTTGGTTGATTGTGCCGCTCAAGAAAGTATCTGAGTCTTGATATATTCTATTATTACACGAGCCAGACCAGACCAGACCAGACCAAAAAATGAAGTGTTGCTACCACATAAATGCTGGGGCTGTCCAACTCTCACTTTTCAGCTTTGACAGAGTTTCGAAACGGCCTTTTGGGAGATGATATATTTTTTTTTTTTGTATCCTGCATCTCCTTTCCCCCGGAGGCAGCGTCTCAAGCCGGTCACTGCATTTTCACGAATACTGCAGCGAATGTTCCGACGAGCTCATAAGTCCCATTAATTCAGACTTTTAAAACTGGCCACGCTGCGTTGGCGGAGTCGAACCGCTTTAACTCAGTCCATATTCCAATCGTAAGAAATCGAAGAAGAACAAGAAAGTTCCACTCGGACAGCTTTTCACCTGAAGAACCGATGCTTTGTGAAACGTACTCCTGCATGGATGCTTCCATGAACGCTACATTCTTAGCCTTTTCAAATAAAGGGGCGTCATATAACACTTTTCATCCCGTAACACTCTACCTTGAGAGCCTCTTGCGCCTTATATTGGTTATCAACTTTTCGGGCTATATGTGCAAAATTCCAACTAGATTTACCGGGTATTTGAACTGATTACTCAACCTATTCACCTGTCAAGTTAGCCGGTGTCTACTGAAAAGGATGTGAAATATTGCGTAGCTAAAGTTTGGGTTGCCTTGAATAAAATGGATGTAATTTGAAAACACGATCTACCAGAAAACCTAAAACGGAGATTCTTTCGAGCCACTGACGAGGCGGTGGTAATATACGGTGCCACTACCTGGAGATTAATTATAATCCTTGCGTCTAAGCTTAATGGAACCTACACTCGGTTGCAGAGAGCTATACTTGACCTCCCTTGGAGACAGCATCCAACTAAATCACAGCTCTATGATGCCATCCTTGATATTTCTACACGCAAACACACAATGCGCTTTGCGGGACACTGCTGGCGAGCAAAACAAAAATTCGCGAGAGAGCTACTATTCTAGACACCTAGCCATGGAGCAAGATGGGCTGGTCGATCAGCAAACACATACATTGACCTGCATTATGACACAGAATGCCACCCTAATTGCGTTCCGACCTTGATGCATAACCTTGATCGTTGACGTGATAGAATGTACAAGCTAAATTGACCGAATAAATTAATATAAAATACTTATATAAATCCCCTTAGCTTGCGAATATAAGCGTATCCATAAGAAAGAGAGATTTCCAAAGCATCATCCAGAATCCTAAAAAAATAAAATGTTTACGGTGTTGTAAATTGATAAGTGCTCTGAATTTCATTTATTTCCACCTGACCAACGTTCTGATTTTTATATTTTCTCGGTGAATTGACTGATTGGGTAGTTAGGGACCCTTTCGAAGAGAAAATCATGTGGGCGAATGAGCGAAATTCAGAAACGATGTGAAAAGGAAGTGTGAAGGAAAAAATTCTGGTCGTTGTTTCGTAACTACTTGATCGCGAAATATCTGAAGTTCTTAGATTTGAAGAACTCTAACCAAACGGTAATACGATATTGCAAATCCTCCAAGGCGAACATTTACTGCGTAGGTTTGGTTGTGGTAATCTTATTTTAAACATCGTGACTCAAGTTACACTGAAAACGACTTCAGAAATTTCTCCTAGAGTGATTCGGCCATATCACGTTGAAATACTGGTTCTCGTCTACAACAGTGGTGAAGAAAGGAATTCTAATCAAACGACAGAAGGGTATCCAGTGTTAATTACAACACTGACAGTGAAAAAAAAACTCTGCAAAACAATAGGATTTCTACAAGTTCAATTCAGTGGTTGGGAAGAAGGTTGGTGAATATTATTATTTTTTCCATTCCAACAAGTCAGTAAAAGAACTGTACAAGTCAAACAGACTTATTGTTTTCGCTAATAGGGTAAAGTAGAAATTTGCCCTCTCTCTCACTTTTAAATTTTTCAGTAAAAGAATCATACAAGTTAAACAGACTTATTGTTGGTTCATATGGTAAAGAAAAAAAAATCCCCCCTCTCATTTCTTAATTTTACGTACTACCGCAGTAAAATGGATGAATTTAAAAGTGCAATGCTAGAGTTGATAAAACACCAACAGGAACAACAACTACTGTTGGGACAGAAGTATTATGAAACACAAGAGAAATTCCAACGAGAACAAGCAGAATACCTGAAGAAATTTGAGGAATTGCACCTAGAAATTCAGGTTAGACAACAGAAACTGGAAGAAATGCTCCTTCAAACACAGAATGAGCAAAAGCACTTGTATAATATATCCATCAAAAGCCAAAATGTGGACAGCGAAAACGCGTTCTTTCAAAATGCTATATCGAGTGCTATTGAAAACTTCACGTTTGCACCTGAAGAAAAATTACATCCGCTTCGTCGTACTTTAAACGTTACGAGGACTTATACAATACGGATTGCAAGTTGGGCTGACCATAAAAAGGTTCGCCCACTCTTCAGGAAATTAGGCACAGCAGAATATACTAAGTTGGTTAACTATATTTTGCCTAAGAAAACTAGCGTCTTTAAATTTAAAGAGGCGGTTCAATCATTAACAGAACTCTTCAGTCCAAAAACATCACTGTTCCACAAGCGTTGGAAATGCATGAATGCAAAAGAGCTTCGAGCATTCCTCATCCACAGGTATTTGTAGATATGCGTCGCTTAAGTCAATGTTAGAAAAAGTTTTCCTCCACTGAGCTTAGTGAATGTCTCCTCTGGACTTGGAAGGGGATAATGGTGATCCTTTAAGACTAAGACATCAGACTAAATTTGTTTACGCTGAGTTGGTCTGATTTCAGTCTGAAGTCGGACGACCGGCTGACCGGTTGAACTCTCTGCCTTCGGGCGGGGAGGAACCCGAACGAGGCTACGCCGAAGGGCGGAGTCTCTTTCGGGGAGGTAAACCGACCCTGAACTCATTTATACGGGTTCAAAGGGCATATTTTTGGCCGAGCCCACGGGCTCGGAGATCCCACGGGCTCGGAGATCCCACGGGCTCGGAGATCTCACGTTAAACCGGCCTTGTGCCACATGATGCTCTCGTGGGGGTGGGGTGACTGAATATCGCTCCTTTGCATAAACACCCACAAGGGTTTATACAAGTTTTTAAAACTTCCGATCGGGGTTAAGGGTGCCCTTTCCATTTTTCAACAGGTCATAGACATGACATGATGTTAAATGGTCTGGATTTTACGGTGGCCTATCTTGATGGTGTCCTAATGAAAAGCGAGTGCCTCGAGGTACTCGAAATCCAGGGTTACGGATTCAAATTAAAAGACGGGAAGTGTGAATTTTTCTTAGAGAGGATTAAGTACTTGGGGCAAATAATTGACAAAGACGGAAGACGTCCCGACCCAGATAGAGCAACGGCAATAAAGAATATGCCAGCACCAGAAAATTTGTCGGCTTTTCAAAGTTGTTTAGGTCTTGCCAATTATTACAACGTTTTTGTCCGAAGAATGCACAGTTTGAGAGCTCCACTTAATGAATTATTGAAAAAAGATAAAGAGTGAGAATGGACAACCAAATGCCAGGAAGCATTTGAGAAAATAAAGGAGGTCCTTACATCAGATCCAAACATTGACATCATTGTAGCCAGCAATGCTAGCTCCTACAGTATCGGGGCATGCATTTTACACAAAAAGGATGAATCTAGGACGCAATTACCAGATGAAAGGGGTTATTCGCAAATAGAAAAGGAAGCCTTAGGAATCATTCTTGCGGTGACTAAATTTCATAGATTTATTCATGGAAGGTACTTTTTGTTGCAGACAGACCATCGTCCACTCCTTACTATCTTTGGATCAAAAAAGGGTCTACCAAAACATACTGCTAATAGACTGCAAAGATGGGGAACCATTCTATTCAATTATAACTACAAAATGGTGTTTCTCCCATCCACTAAAATCTGTCATGCAGACGGGTTGTCTAGATTGATACCTAAGTATGCTGAACCCCCTGGAAGACATAGTCGTTGCTGCCATAAGAACAGAGGTCGAAGTAAAAAGCACATCGTGCAATACTGTACACGGTATGAAAGCGTAGTCGACAGGGATCCTATAGAAGATGACACTATGGACGTCGTCTTTGACACGTTTGAGGTTCCAAAACTGCAATCAGTGCCAGAGATCAGAAGGCACAAAAGAAAAAGGAACTTTACGGAACCTTTAGAAATTAACCCGAAAACAAAAAAATATTGAACATCTTTCATTTCATACCATGTCTAGAGAAAAATGAAAAGAACAAGTAAAAAACCCATCTCCTCACTTATGAACATTGAATTACCAGAAGAGCACAATACGCATTGGATTATTGGAAATTATTAACATTATAATTTACCATTAAACTTATCTAATTTTTCGTTATTTAGGAATAATGAATAGAGACCTTAAAAAGGGACTGTTGTTAACATTAAAAATGTTTGTCTCAGAACTAAAGAAAAGAATTTTGAACGTAATTCCTGTATATAGCTTTTTCAAAGTGGTTGTTTCTGATTTTTCTTTTCGTGAAAAAGGGTTTATTTGGTTGAATAAAAAGTATTGTGTGGTAATACGGAGTCAAGCTGAAAAGAGGGTGTTGTTGTGTCCTCCCTCTAAGAGTCTATGATGGACTCTTCCATCCACTATCAGATTAGTAGGAGAGAAGGCCTTGGGGGAACAGTCGAATAGATTGAACGCTGTGTCAACTGACACACACTCATTAGTCGTGTAATACTCCCCTGTTGTACTTACTTGTAATATATGATATATCTGTAATACTTGTAATTTCTTTAATCATTTTACTTGGTCACAACAAAAAGTAATGTAAACAAAAAGAAAAAAGAATGTAAATGAAATTGGCTAGATTATATGCCCAAAAGACATTAAAAAAAAATAAGAAAAATAATTTAGAATTTCCAGCATCTCTCGTTCGTGTGCATATACAGTCACACCAGCGTAAACAAATTTAGTCTGATGAAGTTCTAAAGGACGAAACAGGTCACCCGAAAACTCTTTTTCCACATTGTCATACATCTTTTCCACCAAAATTGTTCTTGATATGTACAAATTTATATATCGTTATCCCATATTAATATTATTGAAATTAATAAAATAATGCTTGATTCAATATAACTGTGAAATATATATTAATAAATATACACATTATTCCTCACCGGTAGTACAACTCAGTGTTTCATGCATAACACAATCTTCACGTGCTGAGTAGAGACTGACTGCTACATAATTTAAATTTTAATAAAAAAATATATTTTACGTTTTGCCGGCACAGTCCATATATGGCTAAAGTTTGTTTTTGCATTCAAAATAGATCTTTAAATACAAAATATATACAGTGTAACCCGGATATAAGAGACCCGGATATAAGAGAAACCCGGATATAAGAGAGATTTTCTCTGGTCCCAAATTAGAGCCCATACTTACCTAAACAAAATAGACCAAAGCCGGATATAAGAGATACCCGGATATAAGAGACTTCTTCTCCGGTCCCGACAACTCTCTGATATCCGAGTTTCACTGTATAGCTTTTATATTCTTATACAAAATTAAAACACAAACAGACAGTAAACCCTGTTTCTGTTTAATCTTAATCCTTCCAATTTAAAATGTTACTTTTTAATTTTTGTTTTTAATAAGACTTTTTAATTTTTTTTTATTATAGATTTTGGTCTATTTATTGCAACATATATTTAAAAAATTCATTTAATGCCTGTTTATTTTAAATATAAAATATATAGCACGTCTGTGTTAAATACAATATGTATATATTAAAAAAAAATAAAAACCTGTAATCCTCGTATAATATATGGACTGCACCAGCATTGCGTTAACCAGAGACATTTATTAAAATTTAAATTATGTAACGGTCTCTAACTAGCACCTGAACACTGTGTGGTGCATGAAATTCTGAGTCGTACTACCGGTGAAGAATATATATATATATATATATATATATATATATATATATATATAAAAACGATCAGAATGCATGTCAAAATGCAGTCATGAAAACTAAAAACGAACAATAAATAAATGCAAATGAATAAATAAGTATAATAAATTAATCCAAGTCAGTAAATAAGTAAATAAACTAAGTGAATTAACAAACTACGAATGTACACATGAAACAATTAAACGTAATAGTAACAACAATCAACAACAAATAAAGCAATCAATAATAAAGTTAACAAACAACACCATAAAATAGCTATAAAAAAACTGCATTTGGACAATTATTTCTACTCAATAGCCCCTAAAATAATTTAAAACTTAACCGTTATCGGCCATACAATAACTGTTATAAGAGTAGAGCTAGACATTGGCCAACATATATAAATAGTTGAGCTAAAAACAACACACATGGCCTGACGATTACGCTTAAGCATGAAACAGACTGTTGTCGCAGGGTTTTCACATCAATGCTCTCTCTCTCTCTCTCTCTCTCTCACACACACACACACACACACACACACACACACATATATATATATATATATATATATATATATATATATATATATATATATATATTTGTTGGATTGATGTCAGTTTGTGACCCTGGGTTTCACGCTTTTGTGATCGTCAGACAAAAGTAGTTTGTCTGACGATCGCTAAAGCGTGAAAACCCAGGGTCACAAACTCACATCAATCCAACCAAATATGTTAGCTCTATCTCTGATATTGAGCGCTTTCTAATAAGCACCGCGCATATAATATATAAATAATTATATATATATATATATATATATATATATATATATATATATATATATTTATTTATTTATTTATACACACACACACACACACACATATATATATATATATATATTTATATATATATATGAATAAAAGATTAACTTTTAACAGATAAAAATGAATTTAAATTGAACAGATGGTTCATTCTAAAACTGCGTACCACACCACATTATTCCTGTACCTTCTTATGCTTAACGCATATAAATAGTATATTTTACGTCATATATTTAGAGGGAAATATTAAAAACCTGACAGTTCTACTTCAATGGCGACCGCAGGTATTAGGAAATACTTCTCTTTTGAGTGAAAGAAAGAAATGCTGCCTTAGAGAAACATCCCCAGTGTAGGGTGTATTATTTTGTAACTCTAGGCTGGAATCGAGATTTCTTTCGTGGAAACACAATCCAAAAATCTTCATTCGTAAGAAGCACAAAGCTTTTACCTCTAACTTTCCGCTTGAAATCCAAATGGAGTCGCTTCGATAGCAGTAGTGGGACGGCCGGAGGCGCAATTATCACCCGGAGACTCACGACATCCTCAGCTTCAGAGTTATCTACAACGAAACACACAACCAGTGTATTTTCTTTCCTTCTCTTCTCATCGATTTATTGAGAAAAAAAAAAAAAAAGAAAGTTAAAACGAATGACTAATAGAATGCCGAAGGACATCTAATAAAAGAAAAGAAAAATATAAACACAGTTTTAGTATACGACAGTTCTGGGAAACTAAAAATGGTCCCTCAGGCATTTGATGTTATATGCTAAGTGATACTTTTACGGTTAGAAAATTACTTCAGGAATTTTTTTATTCTTTTCTCTTGTCCATTCATTCGTTTATTTTTTTTGTCTTCTTTCTTAATTCTTGAAGATTTTCATTTTTTCTTCTTTTTTCTTCCTTTTCTTTTCTCGTAAGATTTTTAACACTTTTCTTTTTTTTTCGTGTGCCCCTCCCTCTTCTCATCTTGATATTTTTCATTGTCTCTTTGAATAATAACTATTTTTATTTTGTTTCCTTACCGTGTTCTATCTATCTATCTATCTATCTATCTATCTATCTATCTATCTATCTATCTATCTATTGTTTCTTTCTTTCATCTACTCTTTCTTTGTTTTTCTAATGATTAAGCTGTTTTTTTTTCTTCTTCACTTCTTCATCCCAATCTTCTTCTCTGTAAATATATATGATCTTTCTTCTTCCCAGGATCAATTCGATCCGCACATTCTTACCCTATTACCTCATTGCTTCCATCCATTTTCTTTTTTTATCTGTCTCTTCTTCTTCACATTATAAATGTGCACTGAGCCAACCTTTCTATCTCAGCTCATGTATTTTCTCCTTTCCTTAGCTTGTTTCCTTCCTTCTCTTCATTTCTTTCTTTCTTTCTTTCTTTCTTTCTTTCTTTCTTTCTTCATCTTTCATCTTTTTTTAAATTTTATATATTTAATCATCTTTTTTGTTCAATCTATTTTAATCTATGTAAAGCACTTCCTTCCTTCCTTCCTTCCTTCCTTCCTTCCTTCCTTCCTTCCTTCCTTCCTTTTCCTTTGTGAGGTGAGGTTTGGCAAGACACAACACTTAACTCGACCGAGTCAGTTGTGATAATAGTATCCAACACTTTGCGAGATAAGTCATTGCAACAGTATTATCTTCGAGAAAATTACCCGAGACTACTTATCATGAATGGATCAGTTCATTCATGCTAATAAGAAGGGTAACTGGCTCTTACCACAACACTTTCTTTCTTTCTTTCTTTCCTTCTTTCTTTCTTTCTTTCTTTCTTTCTTTGTCTGACATCATTTTTTATTTTTATGCATTTAATCATCTTGTAAAGCACTTCCTTCCTTCTATCTCTCCTTCCATCCTATTCTTTCTTTCTTTCTTTCTTTCTTTCTTCGTCTGACATCATTTTTATGCATTTAATCATCTTGTAAAGACATCTCTCCTTCCATTTTTTTCTTTCTTTCTTTCTTTCTTTCTTTCTTCGTCTGACATCATTTTTATGCATTTAATCATCTTGTAAAGCACTTCCTTCCTTCTATCTCTCCTTCCATCCTATTCTTTCTTTCTTTCTTTCTTTCTTTCTTTCTTTCTTCGTCTGACATCATTTTTTGATTTTTATGCATTTAATCATCTTGTAAAGCACTTCCTTCCTTCTATCTCTCCTTCCATCCTATTCTTTCTTTCTTTCTTTCTTTCTTTCTTTCTTTCTTTCTTTTCTTTCTTCGTCTGACATCATTTTTGATTTTTATGCATTTAATCATCTTGTAAAGCATTCCTTCTATCTCTCTTCCATCCTATTCTTTCTTTTTTCTTTCTTTCTTTCTTTCTTTCTTTCTTTCTTCGTTTCATTTTTTTTTTTATGCATTTAATCATCTTGTAAAAGCACTTCCTTCCTTCTATCTCTCCTTCCATCCTATTCTTTCTTTCTTTCTTTCTTTCTTTCTTCGTCTTTTTTTGATTTTATGCATTTAATCATCTTGTAAAGCATTTCCTTCCTTCTTCTCTCCTTCCATCCTATTCTTTCTTTCTTTCCTTTCCATCTGACATCATTTTTATTTTAATCATCTTTAAAGCACTTCCTTCCTTCTATCTCTCCTTCCATCCTATTCTTTCTTTCTTTCTTTCTTTCTTTCTTTCTTTCTTCGTCTGACATCATTTTTTTGATTTTTTATGCATTTAATCATCTTGTAAAGCACTTCCTTCCTTCTATCTCTCCTTCCCTATTCCTTTCTTTTTTCTTTCTTTCTTTCTTTCTTCGTCTGACATTTTTTTGATTTTTATGCTTTCCTTTTCCTTCCTTCTATCTTTTCCATTTTCTTTCTTTCTTTCTTTTTCTGGCGTAATTGTCAACTCATTCAACGGACTTATGGTGACAAAAGTAAAAGTAAAATTAACTGACAAAAGAAAAGCTGCTTTGTTGTAACACAGGCAAAACATACAAAGAACACATTAGTAAAGTGAACTGTTGAAGTCCAATTTTTCCTCAACCAAAGAGAGAAGAAGGAAAGAGTTAAAGAGATGGAGGGAGATGAAGAGAGAAACAGGAAGAAGAATAGGCACAGAGAGAGAGAGAGAGAGAGAGAGAGAGAGAGAGAGAGAGAGATGATGATGATGGTGATGACGGGCTCTACGTGACATAAAAATACCCTGTCCTTGCCTTTGTCTATTCTTTTGGCGGAAAATCAATATTTCAACGGTACAATTATTTCTTATCTTTTTAGCAACGTTACAAGTATTAATACGCTTCAAAAATAAGTAAACTTACTCAAATATATCTACAATCCATTGCACGAAAGCGTCCATTCCTCCCTCCACCGTCACACTGATATATTTTTAGTTTTATTAAAATCGACCACGAAGGCTACATTGTTTATTTTCTTTCTCTTATAACATTTCCCAGTTTGTCGCAAATCTATATTGAATTTCTCGAGAAATAGTCCAAATTTCAAAATGGTTTTGTTCGAAGATTTTCGTTTACATAGACTGATTATTTCGTTTCTACGGCTTATCAACTTATTGAAAGTTATTTAAAGCCGGTAAATATTTTTAGATTATAAGACATTTTTTTTTAGATAATAATAGTTTAGTATTAACTAAATTTTACTAATTAACCCATAGGGAGGAGAAGAGGTGGATTCATATATTTCCCAAGGTCATTTTTGCGTAAGTGAATATAACGAACCCAATGAGAATTAGAATTAGGCTCTCCGATTAACAATTCCGAGCCGTTATCCATTACACCACCCGCACATCCAAAATTACAGATCTTGACCAGGCTAGACGTTGCCTAACTTCGGTGATCGGACGGGGAACAGCATTTCAACGTGATGTGGCCGTAAGCCCTGTCATTTTCAGAACATTAATATTTTTTTAATGTTATTTTTCACTCAATACTAAGCACAAGAGCCACATAAGGGAAGGGGTTATTGTATGAGGTTGTTTTAAGAGAGTAAAGTAAGAAGTGCTTATTATGGGGATATGTGTGACTGGTAACTTTTGATCAGAGAATTAAAGTGATTAAGAACCTAGTAATCGGGTAAGCATCCTCTTGGGAGTCTGTTCTGTTAGACATTTTCATGACGGTCGTCCTCGAGTATAGAATCCAGAGGTTGGCAGTGAATATTTCGGAGACAGTAGGAAAGCGTACTGCAGGTTCGCAGTGGATATCGCAGCAAGGTAGTAGAGCGTAGTTCTTCCGTCTGTCCTGTTCGCCGGACAAATTGCCTCTGGTCAGGTTGGTAGGAAAACAAAGATGGCCGCCTTTATACACGACGAATACAGTGTTGTGCGGCTTCTGATTGGTCAACCTTCTATTGGTCGACTATAAAGGGAATTAAGTCGTTTTGACTCGCTCACTAGTTATACACTATATACACAAAAAACCGTAACATGTTCCACAATGAGGAAGAATCTGTCTGAATGAAATGTCCTCCTTACAAATATAATACGAAGCGAATGAGAATGGCATAGTGTATTCTGTGAGATCTCAACTGGTGGAAATATGGAAGTAGAGATAGAATTTTGTGAGGCTTGCGACGTTGGAAAATAAATTAGTCATCCCCTGTGTAAATGTTTTTGAACTCTGTCATAGTCAGAGAATAAACAATGTCCCATATTTGATCTGATCTGTAATGATAGAGTATGGAACTTTAGTTTTAACTACAATAGTTCGAGGGAAGGCGCCACATACGTAATCAGAAATCTTAATAATGTCATAGAAAAAGAAATTATTAGCTTCATCCTGGATGTCATTTGTAGATATTTTTTGTTTAAAAGAATTCGTCTTCTAAGGACGAATATATTCATTTTAAACGACTTTTTATTTTCTGTTGAAAAATTTAATACGGGGAGAGTGGAAATAAAATCTTTATTGAAAATTATTTTTGTAAATATCACCACATTTGCATAAAACAAAATATATTGTGATCTTTAAAGCGGTAGAATTTCATTGCTAATTTCTGTTTTTATTTCAGCGTGAAGAGTGTAGGCCAGAATGGCACAACACCTGTCACTGCATGAGCGATTTCAACCCGTTACAAAGTGTGGCAGTTCGTAGTACAAGTGCAGAGGTACACTGTGCCACTACCTCATCATCAGAAATTATAATTCCAAGCTTATATATACGGTATCTGTGATGGATACCCAGAGAAGCAGTCGCCCTTCAACATACAGAAAGAAAATGTGAAAAAAGTATAGGAAATTCAGTCGAGGATATACCCAGACGATGATAAACGCCGGTGGACAATGCTGGTGTCTATGTAGAATTTTAAAACTGTACGCCTACAGTGACTTAAGAAGACCATTTGGTGACTTATGAAGACCATTTCTTGTATAGAATTGCCGATGGCATTGAATTGTATGGTAATGTTGTTGAAGAACGAGATTAATTTTATCAAACTCTTCTCTCTTGTCGCTTGACTTCTTCCGTTTCCCTTATGATGGCTTCGAAGTTTTTGGTTCGATGGTGATGGAATAACGCTAGTTGGAAGTGTCTGCAGACTTGTTCTTCAAACGATTTAGGGTCAAAGTCCAGTGACTTTCAATATTGTTTTGAAATGATCCTTGTATCTGTGAAGGGAGAAACTCGATAGTCTTTTACTTGAAGTGAGCTCGCTGAATACGACTTGACGCGGAAACCTTGACTCTTCCATTCTAGCTATATGTCTTGACCATCGAAGACCTTGTTTCATGATCAGCGATTTGATGCTTTGACTGTTGCCTCTTTCCAGGACTTCAGTGTTGGCCACATAGTATTACTTTTTAATGTTTATGATTGAACGAAGCTTTTGCTGGTTCTATTATTTTTAAATGTCTCGTGAGCAGATCCAATTCTGTGTTCCATATCCTTTTCTGAGGTGCACTTGTTTGATAAAAAGCTGTCTAGCTAGGGAAATGCTTTATTAATTCGACAGGTGTATCAGAGATGGTAATATCAAAACCCGCTAAGATGATATTTGGAGCTGACTCTGAAAGGACTTTAAGGTTTTCTTGATATATTCTGTAAAGACAATATTTGGAAATAACTCTGTTCTAAAAAGATGTAGCTGGAATGTGATGGAACCAACCACACAAAGAATTATTTACAATCCACTGATTCACAAAACTCATTGACACACAATTAAAACAGAATAATTAATCGATAATATTTGAATAGGCTATATATCATCGTATTGATTTGGTGTTTTTAAAATCTTATAGGGGCCAAAGTGCCTAATAATCAGTTTTATTGATTATTTAATATTTAATATTTTAATATTTAGATGATTCTTGATTCTGATTTTCACCAAAGTTAAGCAACGTCGAGCTTGGTCATTACCTAGATACGAAGCATGTTCAGTACGCTTGGATTTGCGGATGGGGCAATGGATAATAGATCATAATTTTTAATCGGAGAGCCAATTTCCAATTCCAGTAAGATTCGTTATATTCGCTTACGCGCTAATACCCTTGGGGAAGGTACGAATACACTTCCTCTCCCCCAGCTATGGATTAATTAGTAAGACTAGCATCACTAAACCTTTATTATCTAAAAAAATAAAATAAAAATGCATACAAAATATTTAGATTTCGACATTAAATAATCCATAGGCCTTTAAACAAGAACAACCAAACAACAATTTATTGCGATTCGTAATACTCAAAAAGCTTTTTCACAAAGACTTACCATAATTCTATACTTTTATCTTGAAACTACCATCGACTCGGAAAAGATCTATAACTGTACTGTCTATAACAAAGGGTGTTCCATTAAGACGGATTATATATAAGGGTGTTTCATTAAGACGGATCAAAGTCAGCAGTAAATAAATCAGTGTTATTGGTGAAAAGTTATTTATTTATCTATTGGAACATGTTATTTAAGTCATGGCAATTATGTGTGAAAAATAATATCGCCCAAATGTCCGCTAAATCTGAGGGAAAAAGAAAAAAATCATTAGACGCTTAAACTTAATTCACATTTAAAATCGATCAAGTTATTGGAACACCCTTTATCGGAGATATGCACTGAAGACCATATGACTATATACGTGCATGCGCGTTTATATCTTAATTGAAAACCAATCTAAAAGTATTCTTTCTCTGTTATGTACAAACCTGTTACAACGCTACACTAAGCCAGGCCGTTACTTGCGCAGGCACATAAATAGATTCTTCTCATATCAGCCTTCGACCCTTTTGGCCGTGGGCAAAAAATCAGAGACGAATGGGCGCTTGTCCTTGAAAGGAAAGAAGACTGCAATTAGCAAGTGGCCTCGAGGAAAGGGCCACTTGTTATCGGAAATCTTGTAGGAAAATCCTGCCTGGCCAATTGGTCTATTATGGATGAAGGGCAAGAAATTAGTTGGTCAGAAACAGACAAACAATCAGTGGATTCACAGTCTTACCACATTGTACATGATGCAGAAAAAAAATCATATATACATTTGAAGAGCAATTATCAACGACGGATCTTTCTTTTCTTTTTTCTTTCTTTCTTTCTTTCTTTCTTTTCTTTCTTTCTTTTTTTTCTTTCTTTCTTTCTTTTATTCTTTCTTTTCTTTCTTTCTTTTTCCCTTTCTATCCCTCACCCTTTTTTGCATTTCACTCACTTAAATTGTTTTATCTCTCTATCTCTTTTACCAAATAAATTGGTATGTGAATATGAATGGA